GTATGTCCCAACACGCTCCCTGAGGTCAGCGGACCAGTTGCTCCTCACAGTTCCAGGAACTCGTCTTAAGCACAGAGGTGACAGGGCCTTCTCTGTAGCAGGACCAAGACTCTGGAACGAGTTACCTCTGCTTGTCAGGCAGGCCCCCTCCCTCTCGGTTTTCAAGTCCCGTTTAAAAACCCACTACTATTCAATAGCTTTCAACACCAGATGATCTGTGTTTTGAACCTGTATGCTCCACACTGGTTTGTCGTCATTATCTGCATATCTGCATCGTTTTTTTATTTTTTTTGTCTATATTCTGATTTTCCTAATTTTGTATTTTGCTTTGTGTGTTACCTGTTGTTTTGTCTGTACAGCACTTTGGTTGGCCTTGTTGCTGTTTTAAGTGCTTTATAAATAAAGTGGTATGGTATGGTACAGTAGTACTGTACACCAATATGAACTGAAAGTGCTACAGCTAGCTGCTGGCACTTCAAATAACCGCCAATTCTTTGTAGATACCTGTGTATTGTAAAGGTGACGGAGGAGTAAATGTTTATAAATAAGCTTCAACACAAGTTGTTTTAAGTCAGAGGCTGCGGCTCCAGCTAGCTCCTAACTAGTCTTACAGAACTATCTACAGCAGGTAAGATAATTGTTTATAACTTTCCACAGAACTCCACTTTAAAAGACACGAACATGATTAATAAAAATAACAAGGTGTTTTGCCTGCTGCTGAATGAAAATCATGGAACAGCTTCACAAAGCCTAAATCAACTAAATGACTTTGTAAATTATCGGTTTTCTTTAAACAGTGTATAAGACTAACTTATTCTCACAGTTCTGTTAAACCTGTGAGCAAACAGAACCTCAAGCATAAGGTGGATTTAGGCTTTTAGCTGTGCAGCTTCTTATCTACGAGGCAGTGTGTTAGTGGTCAAAATGAGCAGCAGGTCTTCAGTTCAGGTGGGGAGGAACAGCAGTCGGAGTCAGAGACGTGTTACCTGGTGACAGCCGTGGAAACAGGATTCACTTTGGAGACGAATCTCTCCTCCTCTGACAGAACTGGCTCTGAAGGAAGCAAATGGAGAGAGGGTGAGATGAGCATGAGCAGTTTCTGTGGACACTGAGTGTGTGATGAGACACTGGGTCCAGCAGAACAAAACGGCATCTTTCAAATATTATTAAAAACAATCTTTTGCTACCAGCTCAGCTGACCTGCACCTGTCCTGTCTGATTTACAGAGTTTCACACCTTAGAATGAATCCAACTCACAACGGGACAAAACCCTGACGGAGTCCAAAAATTATACATTTCTGAACCATTTTTAGTGTCATATGTGAAAATGGTCATTCCGAATATATATATTTATTTACACATACATATATATATATATATATATATATATATATATATATATATATATATATATATATATATATTCCTTAGATAAAGAACTTTACTAATTGGCTTTTATGTAAGTGAATGTTCCTGTAAAGTGCCCTGAGACAACTTTGTTGTGATTTGGCGCTATATAAATAAACTGAATTGAATTGAATTTATATAAAACTGAATGAAAATGTAAAGTGCTTCTATCATTTCACCAGAGAAAACCTAAAGATAATCTAGATCAGCCTTGATGTGCTCTGACAGGAGATGGTCTGAGAGTCTGAGCTGCTGAAACACGTCCATGTCCCCCATCGCTGAGATTTGAACAGTGAATGTTTTGTAGTTTTGGAAATGAGTGTTTTTTCTGTTCTAGAACTGAACAGGGAATGCAAGTAAACCTTGAAGGAGTTAAACTATAAGAACAGAGGTGTGTGTGTGTGTGTGTGTGGGGGGGGGGGGGGGGGGGGTTGTCTGAGGTGGTGCAGACAGAAGGATTCTGTGGAGCGGAGGGAGCAATTTTATCCATGACCAGGTGTAATGACGTAGCCAGGGGGTGACCAATGGTGGCCATGAACATCACAAATTAATCTTCAGGCACCCCAAAAGCCACCCAAGTCATTTTAGTAAACTGTACTTTTAAGCAGTCTAAAAACTAGCAGAGATTGTAACAGCTCAGATCTCAGACCCTGTCATTGCTCCCCTACCCCCCACCTCCCGCTGATAAGCTCCCTCTCAAGGCAAGTAACCTAGGGGAAACACTAACTGGAAAACATTGTTTCCTAAAATGAAAGGGGTAGGCCGGTTTACATACAAATTACATGTAGGTAATATAAATACTGGTAATATATAACGAAGTAGTCCCTTGCTACTTTGCGATTCGTATATTGCGGACTCGATCTATCGCGGTTTTTCAAAATAAGATTGGACATGACACACAATTGGCTAATTGATGGATGAGCTGCACGATGGGCATGAAATTTTTATTTAAAATAAATTATTTTAAATTATTTAGCACCTGCTGCACATTTGAGCAGCCCTTACTGCAGGATAAACTTCCTGCTGCAGCTGTTCTCCGTGCAGAGCAGATAAGTGGGCGTGGCCAAGAGCGCTTGCAGGTGGCAAACAAAGAGCAGAGGAGGCAGAGAGCTGAAACCATGACATTCTGTGCTCTTTTAGAGCTTTAGAGTTTAGAAACATTGTTTAGAGTACTGCAAGAGTGTGGGAAGGGTTTAAAACGCCTTTATATATATAATAAAATAAACTAATACTTAGTACTTGTACTACTATTCCTACTTTGCGGTTTTTCACTTATTGCGGGTCTCCAGGGTACGGCGCCCCTGCGATAAATGAGGGACAACTGTGTATATATACCAGCATACAGTATATGGCAGTGGATATTTAGGTGGCAACAACTTTCTTACATATACGTGAAGCGACACACTAAAGTGGAAGTCGACCTTATTATTTAAATTATCCAGCTCACAAGATTTACATACGATGCATTTATATATGGTGGCAGTCATTTTGGATTTTGACTTGATAACCCAATTGTTGATAGGGACTATTTTTACACCTAGATGTAGCCACACACCAGAATGGAAGTTAGCACGCTGCTTACTTTTCAAATTCTTATGCTAACATGTCCAGATGGACGCAGGGTATTTCCATTTCCCCCTCTTCTCTCCACGACAGGGACTGCTAAAGACAAATTTATTTTTACGCCTAAGTTTGGTTGATTCTTTTCCTCTCAACTCAAACAGACTGAGAGGTTCAAACGTTATTCATTCTACATACCACCATGTGACCTCAACAATAAGTCCTTTCTGTTTTGAGCAAAGGCCGTTTTCAACTCAACAAGAAATCTTTGGATATTTGAGTCTTGTGAGTTCTGGTTACAGCCCTAATGGATCCAGTCTGATCCCAGCAGACAAACAGCTCTCACTCTGCAGACTGAAGCGTTCAGAGCTTCCCTCCTCCACAGGGGTCACCAGCTTCATCCTCAAACTCAGCTTCCCATCTCCTGTGTCCTCTCCACTCGGTGCAACATCGCTGGCAGCCATCGCCACATCCGCGGAGACATCGGCCACCACATCACACTTTCCAGAGAAGTTAGATTCTGCGTGAAGACAGAAAGCAGTGAAAGTCAGCGGCGGGTCCTGTTAGACGTCTGTCAGGAAGGTTTGGTGGTGAAAGGACCTACCGATGGGAGTGCTGTGTCTCAGAGTCTTCTTCAGCTGGCTGATCAGAGGCGGTGTGACACCCTCCACTGGACCAATCAACTCCCCTTCTTTAGGGAGCGTGAAGTGGAAGGAAATTTCTGTCACAAAAGCAGGAATCAGGAGTTATTTTTTCTAAAGGGGCCATTACAACATTTGACTTGACTTCGAGTGAACTTAAAGAAGAAAAATAAAAACTTCTGGCTTTAGTGATCACTTTAAAGGATTTGGTGTTATAAGTAGGGCTGTGTGAGTAACATGGCTCTTAGTTTTAATTTTTATTTAAGCTCCAAATATTCACAAAAACAGCACAACCAAGAAAAAACGATAATTATTAGAAATGATTTGCCATGTTTCTCTTTGCCAGCGTGCTTCCTTTTTATCTTACCTGTTTAATGAGGTGAGTACCTGTTAAGAGTTTTTGGTATGAATGAATATTTTGTTTGTTTGTATTTATTATGACTGATACGTGAACAAAAAACTCTCTTGACTTGGCCTGAAAGCCAGCTCGCCGACTCACAGCGCCTCACTGGTGTTGACACCATGAGAACATGTCCAAAATATTCTCTTACCTCCATCTGGAGGCGACTAGCCGACGGCCATGGATCATGTCTTTGTGTCTGACTGCAGCTGGCTGTGAGGGAACACCTGCTGGACTCTGCTGCTGTGTTAAAGTCTGCAGATGACTCCACTCATTCTGTGACATGTTCCATGCATTGTGTATTTGTGTTTGTAATCGGTCTTGAATGAGTCCTTACAAGTAAAATACTGGTTAAAAATCTTCTGCCATCAAGTGTGGTTCTTCTATTTAAGTTAAGAGAGAACATTTTTCTCCAACATTTTGGTCCTTCGAGGCCGGCCCCAACATCTGACCTCGGGACGCCAGACTTGGACCTGAAACCATGCACGGAGGAGGATTTATCTCCTGAACTGAAAGTCCTCTGGCTGAATTGTCAAGTTTAGTGAAGAAAGGTCTGCTGGAGCTGATTTTATTCAGCATGTTGTTGTATGGAGTCACGAAGAGACTTTCAATAGACGGTCAACAAGAACCATCAAAACAAAAGGAAATTCTGGGAACTTCGCTGTTTATTCAGGGACTAACAGAAAAGCAGGGGTTCGGGGAACTTTATTAGATAGCACGGCCCATTATACAAACATGGACAAACTACTATACAGCAAGCTATACTGTAGCAATGACCTGGAAAAGCAAAGACTGTGTTTGACCTTTGACCTTGACCTCAGCTGGGGTGATGAAAAGATTACACAGCACGCTGTATGATGGTGGTAAAAAATTGTATCGTTCTGTTTGTTAACTTATCTTGAGAGGATCAGAAGTTATGGCACAGACCAACAAAGACATCGTTTTAAATTAGTTTTAATTCTGATTTATGATCTTGACGTTGGAGCTGGGGTGATGAAGCGTGAGCGTGACATTCCACAACTATTGATGATGTATACGTTTATAAAGTATACTTAAATAATCTTGAGCTGATCAGAAGTTATGGCCAGTACAAGATAAAGTTTACAGACAGGCAATACTATACCATAATTAAATATAATGCTAAAAAAAGTTAAATTAAAGATTATTTGATCAATACTGTAACCACAAAGATTGAAAATGATAGTTTGTGGTTTAGAAATATTACATTTACTGTACCTACATAATGTATGGCCTTGAAAGAGATTTTTTTTTTCTTAAAACCTTCCTGTTAAATTTAACTCTAAAATTAGGGACGCATGATATAATCGACATGGTATCGGCCGATAATAGCGTTAAAGTTAAATATCGGACATCAGCCATTCCATCAAAATAACTCACTGATATAAAATTTGCTGTTTTTCTGTGACAACCCAGTGACAAGGACGCCTGCAGCGCCTGCACAACGTGATGACGTCATGCACGCCTACCTGATCTGATCACGGTGGAGAGGAAGAAGTCAAAATATCGGCGGTGTGGAAGTTTCTTTTTTCGTTTGTGGGGATGTCAGATTCCTAAGATTTTTGGACTACGTAGAGTCTCACTACATGGCCCCCAGTCAGAGATATTTTTCCAACGTAGCCTTACCCGAGTTACAAGCTGTCATTTTTGACGTCATTGAGAAGCTATTAGCTGATAGCACTTGGGTGAGTTTTACCACAGACATTTGGACGTCGTGTTAGCCCCGTTAGCATGATTAGTCACAATGGATAGACAAAAACTTTGAACTTAAAAAGGCTGTCCTTCATGCACAGGAGTGCAGAGGATCCCATACTGCAGCTATAGGAACCTGGAACAAGCCTCCACAAGTGAGACAGCATCGCAGGTGACTAATGATAATAAATAACATTTAACACTTTTCATTTAATATAAGTTAAAGTGCTATGCATATCACATGGCTGTTACTGGATATATGTCACCAGTTCTTACAGCTGTTGTACAGTTTTTGTAGCAAATAAGCCTAAATAAGAGGGCTATGTTCTGACAAAGGATATAAAACATCAGTATCGGTTATAATAAGTTTTAACATATCGGCCAAAAATACAATATCGTGCATCCCTATCTAAAATACTTTAACATAGTATTTAGTTAAATGCAGGCTACTTTATAAAATAACCAACGCAAATAATAATATTAAAAAAAAATCAGCAATGTGGTGCACTTGAGCTATATTGTAAGACTCTTTGAAACCCTTTTTTTGTTTGTTTTCCCAAAATATGTTTTTGTTTTTCTAAGTTTCACCTAAAAAGGTCTTAATATATATCAGTGTTTTGTTTTATGAAAGACACTAAAAACAAATTGGTCCAGCTAGCCGTTAGCCTAGCCTGGATGAAGACTTTTGCCTCTGAGCTCTCTGACTGATGTCACAGCTCATAAATCCTAAATGTAGAACATTTGAGAGAACTAACAAACGGGCTCTGCAGACGGTGCATGCTGTGTGTTTACCTCCGGAGCTTTCACTCAGGCTTTTGTCTTTGTCCACATTGTCCATGTGGGACAGTCCATCAGGAGCCACCTCTTTCTCCTCAGTTTGAGATCCGAGTCCGTTAGCAGAGACCGGAGGCTTGCCTCTGATTGGCTGGGAGTGGCTGGTTTCTGTCTGTGGTTGCTTTCTGTCCTTCTCGCTTCCCTGGTTGGTGTCTTGGCTGTCCTCCTCTTCCATGGGTTCAGGAGACAGAAGCTGGCTCTGGGAGAGGACCAGAGCGATCCCTGAGGCTCCTCCTGTGCTCTCCTCCTCCATCACCTCCTCCTCGTCCACATCACCCTGTTCATGCTTGTCCATCCTGTCTTTAAGTGTGGAACCACCACCAGCTGCGTCCTGTTCTTGTCCCTCTGGATGAGTCTTTGCTGGTTGTCCTCTCAAGCCTTTAGAGCTCACAACACCCGCAGCGGTCCGAGGAGCCCCTGGCTGTGACGGCAAACTGAAGGGTGTGGCGTCAGAGGGAGTTTCTGGCACGCAGCTGTTAGCAGTCGGATCAAAGGAGGAGCTGTTGCTGCTTTTCACATCTTTTACGGTCACGTTTTGTTCCTTCAAGGGACTTTCTGCCTGTTTGTGCACGTCTGAATTCTGATTGGACAGCTGGGCTCTGCTGCGCTCGCTCTCCTGCCGTGCAGTTTCAGTAGAGAGGGAAGGTTTGGAACTGGAGGCAGGTTGTGACTCTGAGGGAACAGCGCCGCTCTGGTTTGTTGGGTCATGACGTGAAGTCACAGAGTCACTGCTGTCAACGGCTGGAGGATCTCTGAACTCTTCGATCTGTGTGGCCTGGCTGTCCTCCTCGATCTGCTCCGGACTCTTCACACATGGACTGTGGGGATCACAAGCGTCCGTGTTCACAGACAGCTGCAGTGGGGAGGTGAGCGAAGTGCACTCCTGCTGCTGCGACTGTGGCTGACAAGGCAACGATGCTGATTTCTGATCCGACCCCTGGCTCTGTATTCGGACAAACACATCCTGAGGAAACAGACAGGGGGGGTCAGCAACTACCAGTCCTCATCAATAAACCGTTTATCCCAGTAACATACTGGGTATGTAAGCAAAGTCTCATGGATCACAGGACAGATTTGAATAAAGCTCTAATCACTGGTTGCAGATCAATAACTAACATTAAAAGTCAGTTCAATTAAAGATGGCCGCCACAGCTAATCAAATTTAAAATGTCTTCAACTTTATTTACAAATCTCCAATTAAAACCCTGGGTTCTCACCTTTAGTCAGTGCGTTACGTTATGTTAGGGCTTGATTAAAACATCTACGACTGTTCCTTCATGGCATGAGACGATCTTAATTAAAAATTTTGGCTTTCATTAATGAAATAATCAGTGAAGTGAATCACTGAAAACATGCAAAATTATTAAATAGTGTGTAATAAACATTACACCAGCATGGCTTAAAGCAGAAAAAAATATTTTGAAAAGGTTAAATCAGGTCATCGGGACAGTTTCTTTTTGAGAAAGAAAGAAAGGCTTCATCGGTCTGAGGCCTGCCAACAAGATCCGTCTTATAAACAGCACCTCCTTAGTGTTTCAAGCCAACCTGCTGTTGAATTCCTAGAAACTGACTTTACAGATGCAAAAAGGGACCATCATCCAAACAATCGATCATCATACACACAATAAGGACTGAACTAGGAAAAAGGGACTTATGCTACTCCGCTCCTGTTTCCTGGAATATCTTGCAAAAAGATCTGAAGTTCTCAACTTTGACCTCTATGCCCCTTTTGCACCGCCCCTAATCAGCCCCAACTCTGCTCAGCCCTGCACACCCCTCCTCAGCTCAGCCTGGATTTGCACTTGCACTTTAGGACCAATTCTGGAGGCGGCTCAGTGAAAGGTTTCCGAGATTCAGTGACTCCTCCCCCTGACCAATCAGAGTCCTGCATTCACGTTTTGGTCCGGACTCAGCTTAACTGAGCTCGCTCGGTCCCATCAGAGAAGCAGGGACGAAAAGAGGTCCTGAATCAGCCTCAAACCAGCTAAAAATACTAGCTAAAGTGCTGGTGCAAAAGGGTTCTTTCTGTGGCGGGCTGCCTAGAATTGGGGCTTATTAGGGGCAGTGCAAAAGGGATTTAAGTGGCTTTAAACATCTGTTAAGTTCCTGGCAAAAACCAATGCAGACATCCTTTATGATTGTCTATTGTTGTTGTTGTTGTCCACTATTGTTATCATTCTTTGTTAAAATCAGGTCTCTCTTGTAAATGAGTCCTCGTGGCTAAATGGGACTAACCTGTATAAATAAAGTTTGAATTAATCAAATGTTTTAAATCATTTTAGGCCAAACTGCTATTCACAGAAACAACCCTCAAACTTAACATTCCTCCTTTTGATGCTGAGGCCTTTTTATTTAATGTGGATAACTTCAGCTCAGCTTTCTCTGATGCCATAAATAAAGTCGTAACTATAGCAAAGTAGCACGTTCACTGTAGTAAGTGTAGGATAATAAGCCCTCCTTTCTATTTTATGAATGATTTAAAGTCATACTATTCTCCATTAAGTAGATTAAAACCTGGAAAACTGCTAGAATCACCTCACAACAGAGATCTTAAAACTTATTGTTTAAAGTTTCTCATATAGTCTTGCTCCTTTGTGTTTTTTTTTTTTCCCTTTTATTATTTTGTAAAATGGAGTTATGACACCTTTCACCAGTTTGTATTTGTATCTTTTTACAATGTTCTGTTTCATGTTGCTAATAAAGTTCTAAAAAACAAACAAAAAAAGAAACAGCCTGAGGACACCTGGCCAAAATGGTTCAGAAAAAAAGGTTTTTAAGCTGGATTCAGAAACCTTCAGTTTCAGAGAGAGCGAGCGCTGATGTCATGTAAATTACCGGCCGAACCGATTTCACTCAAAAAACGCTTTGTGTAAACGGGGCCTAAAGGCTCCCACATACTTAGTACTTCAGTCCACAGAGGTCTTACACAATTAGACTCGAAGCGGACGCCCTCAAGCTACGCCTGTGCAAAGATCAATTTTTACGACCACGTACACATACTCTGTGTCGCACAATAATCTGCCCGGCGACAGACTGTTTTGTATGCGACACCAATGTATTAAATTTCCCTTCTTCATCCCTGATCTGGTTTAATGGCCTTTTCTATTCTTTTGTTTTTTTTCCCCAAGAGGCAAGTAATCTCCTCCTCCTCCTCCTCCTCCTCCTCCTCCTCCTCCTCCTCCTCCTCCTCCTCCGTTGACGTCTTGACTGAAATTGTGAGAAATGAAGGAACTTGTCACAAACGAATTAAAATCAGGTCCAGTGTGGCTGCGGGAGGGTCTGGAGATTTCCTGGTGGGCTAGTCAGATGTGTGGGCTGCAGGACCAGCGCTCCCTGTTTTTTTATTTATAACTTTTTATTAACAACATACATAACACTGCTGCGGCTGCTCCTGGGCTGCCACCTGCCTCTACTCAGGGCTGCTGGCAGCTCTCTTTTTTTTTGGCAACCTGTCAATCAATCCAGTAGGCATGTCAGCAAATGACCAATTGGTGACCTCAATTTGTCCCAAGGTAAATGCCTCTTACCTGCAGAGCTGGGCTGCAGCCCATCAGGGTGTACACTCGAGTACGATGTCTCAACCAACTGCAGACAGTACACACTGTCCGCGCGGCTCACGGAGTACATACAGTACGCCCAAGTATGTGTGAGCCTTTAGGCTCTTTAGGTTCACCCTGCAGCTCTTATTACTCAATTCAGTTGTTTTCCATTACATCATCATTAAAATGTGACCTCCATCAGACTCCAGTGTGACTAGGGCTGAGCGATATAGACCTAAATGAATATCTCAACATTTTAAGATAAATTGCAAAATACGATATATATATATATATATATATTTTTTTTTTTTTTTTTTTCTTTCCATAAAGTAATAACAAAAATATATTTCAGAGCCAAAGCTTTGTCCCAACTGTCACACAGGCACATTTATTAACAACAGCTGTAACTGCACAAAATAAATGTCTAAAAAAAAACTATTTACATATATTAAAGTTTGCTTTTTAGGCATTTATTTACATAAACAAATACAAGTTTCAAGTCATTTGATAATGTCCATAGAAAATTCAAAGCAAATATGATCTTGTTTTTAGTATTTCACCCTGTTTTACGACAACCTGATTTATTAATAAACCTGAAGTCTGATTCTAATGAAGTATATTCATTCAACCTTTAATAACCTTTATTAACAAAACTCTGACACAAAAAGTGCAGAGCTCAGTTGGGAGGTTTTTTTCCCCCACTCTGGACATGGACAGATCCTTGTTGTTCAAGCTTGTTTGTGCTTTACTGGTTTACTGCTGTGTCTAAATACCAGAAGAACACACAACAAATAAATCACCCTAAACTGGATATTTGTCTCCATGTTTTTTAATGAAAAGACAACTTCATACCTTGCCACTCTACAGTTAATTTCCTAGAGAACACCAAACCTCAGCTTTTTTCCCCTTAGTTCATATCTTAGATCTTAATCCTGTTTTTCTTTTACATTTTATTGTTGGATGTAACTGGGAACCTGCGTACATAATCTCGTTCCACCATATGTACCATGAGATGCGAATGACAAATAAATCTCTCTGAATCTCTGAGTCCCTATATACACGGACATGGTAGGGGGAAACGTAGTTTTTTTTCATATGTTAATTAGAGGAAAAGATCTGCGTTGACACGAACAGATTTAGTGTTTACAATGTATGTATGTAAACTTTACATGCATCTGGAGGAATCCACCCCAGTTGTTGTTGTTTGGGCTGGGGGAGGAGAGGGGGACACCTCCGTGTTGCACATTAGCTTACAGCTATGTTAGTGACATCAGCTGTTGAACGGCAGGTGTGTGTGTGTGTGTGTGTGTTACGAAGTGTGTCAGAAACGGTGCATGTAGTGCGTCTGTGTTGTGCGCGGCGAGATTTTGCCTTAAGATTAGAAAAGTCCAGCTGATGGAGTTAGAGAGAACACCTCGAAGGAGAAACATCATGTTGGGAGGAAGAATCCAAGTAACAAGTTTTCTGGAAAGTCAAATAGTTAAAATCAGTGATGGGGAAATAGAGAGAAAAACAACATAAGAAGAGAGATGGATGTTATTCCAAGTGGATTGTGAACATAGGCATCGCAACCATTATATGTGAAGGGGACAAGTCCCCCCCACATTAAAAAAACGTTCATTTGGACCCCCCCACTTTTACTATGAAACATTAGTTCAGGCGGCGCAGTTTCTCTTTCTTTGTGAACAAATCCATTCCACTTGATTAATAGGAGAATACTCAATCTAATAAAACTCCACTCCAGGTTTTCCAGGTTACCTCCAACTCTACGCACAGAGCAGAAACTGTGCAGGCAGCCGCTGCCGAGTCTCCTGCTTCGGTAGAAAACGCGCACAGGTGCAGGAGATGGAGACACCTCTGTGTTGCTCACTCGCCAGTTTAGCACCTTAGTGTGGCCAGTTGTTGACCAGAGGGTTGATCATCAACATATATTCATGTTAGGAGGATGCTTGAAAGGAGCGCTACGTCTGTAGCATGTTCTCTTAGCAGTAACTGTGACGCTGTGAGACGCTGCAGGTGTAAGAGACGCTGTGTTCAGGTGCATTAAAGTTGAAATGTCTTTAAAACCCCACACCGTATTGTCCTCAAGCTTCATGAGAAACATCATTTAGATGAGTAGTGTTGAACACAAGTAAAAATGTCTAGTGGTGATGTTTTTTATTTCTCTATAAACACAAATAGTGCAGATCTGACGCTCTGTATTAAAGTTAAAATGTCTCTAAAACCCACAGCTGAATTTACACAAACTTGGTGAGAAACATGTTTTATGAAGTTATGAAGTGTAGAAATCGTGGCAACAAGGAAGGAACCTGTAAATTATTTAGTTTTTATAATTATATACAGGTTGACAAAACTGACTAAAATGATTTTGTTTTGTTTTGTTTTTTGTCTCTTGCTTGGCACAGTGCAGTTTGAGTTGTGAAGGCTGCATGATGCAGGTTATTTTTTATGAGTCTATCACTTAATCAGAAAACAGTAAAAAAGCACCCCTCCCCCCCTAAATTCACTGCTAGTGGTTATTAAAAATGTCACCTTTTCAGTGGGTAACGTTAATATTTAAACATGCAGTTGAGAGTCACCATTGCTCATCACAATGGCATGTTGTGTTACAAATTAATATATATATATATATATATATATAATATAATATATATATATATATATATATATATATATATATATATAAAGTCCAGTGCGCCCCTAAAGTCATTGTTTGTGATAAATTATTTCACATTAATTTCATTATCTTTGCCTTAGGAGTGAGTTTAAAACAGGATGATGCAGATATGAACTAGTTGAATGAAGTGTTTCTCAAATATCTTGATGCATGATCAATAATTTCAACATTTTTTTAATCCGTCCAGAGGACCTGACTTTATTTTGTTAATGTCTCTAAAATAGTTGTTGAATCAAGTGTTTACTTATGGAGCTAAATGTAGATGTTTAACAACCTGTTAAAATGCACCATTAAAAATGCTTCTGATGCCAATGATTGGGCACAAAAGAGGAACATGGACAAGCAGTAGAAACAGGCATTTAAAATCTTGTCCAGGCCAAAACATTTAAGAAATGAGTTTTAACTGTGAGCTAAATGCTCTGCTGTGTTTGGCTTGCTTCTGTTGTTGTTTGTTTATTGTTTATTTTTTGGTTGACACCATCTTTCCTATTTATGTCTTCATTAAATTAGGATATGTTAGTAAATGTCTCTTCCCCTAAATTTCTTCTTGGGATGTACCAGAACACTTAATTTACATGTAAATAATCACAAAATCTTTTTTTTTTTTGGTGGTGGTGGTGGTGGGGGGGGGGGGGGGTCTAGGTTTGTCACCTTTTTCATCCCTTCTGAGTTTGCAGGTATGAAAGGAATGTAGAAATAATAGTGATCTGTACCATGACACGTGTAATATTTAAAAATATTTAAATATTCCAAGCGTTCCTTGTGTGATATTGGTGATTGACACAGATTTAACATTTCCCAATTATATTAGACAAGTACCCAGGCTGAAGTAGTGGAGGAAGGAGAGAAAAGTGGAGGCAGAGCAGGAAGTGCATCTTCTTGCACAAGTGAGCATGGTGAGGCAGAAGAGAGAGAAGGAGAGAAAGGGAAGACAAATTAAGCACAGAGAATCTGACTGGGACCCAAACTGGACTGAAATAACCAAGTTCTGCCCATGGCTGTCCCACACCAATCAAGGTGAGAATTAAGCATTACGATTAAATGCAAGGGGAGTTATACAGGGAGATGATTGAGGACGCCTGATCAGTGATACATTATGTGTTTCAGATATGGACCAGCTCAACATGATGATGAAACTGGCATCCCAAAATGATGAATGAGGACAGCTTTAGCCATGTTTGAGCCAGCTTACAGCCACTGCATTAACCGTGCTCATGTCATCTGTGAACTGTGAGAGATTTATCTACAATGAACAGGGTAAGACACTTAGTTAATAGTAAACAGTGTCAGCCAAAGATGGTTTGGTTTCTTTCATTTCCTAAACTTTTAATGGTTTTCCTGTGTAGGTGAAGACAGACCTGAGGAACATGCTGCAATGGGACCATCTGGCAGCATGCATGCTACTCAGCATCAATGGGCCCCCTCAGACTGAGTTCCCATACAACAGGGCGTTAGAGCTCTCTTTCAAGAAACCTAGAAGGATAAATGCTCTCAGCCAGGCTGCACACTGCCATTAGAGAACTAAAGCTGTCATTTCACTTGTACAGTACAGTGTGAATATATTGAATAAATGTTGTTCAAAAACATTCAGTTTGAAATGGTCATAATTAAAATGATGATGTTGCTCTCTACAGTCGTATTCCCGGCGTCGTATTCAACAATAAACCCCCCCGCAGGCAGCCCACCACCACGGTTAAAAGAAATCCTAGAGGAAACCCTGCAGGTTAGTCCCATTGAGCCTCGGGGACTCATTGACAAGAGAGACCTGATTTCTGTGATGACAACAGTGAGTAACCACGACAACAATACAGTCATAAAAGAATACATACAAATTTAATATTTTCTCCCAAATTAAAATAAAATGGCAACCAAAAGGACTGTCAAAAGGAAAAGTAGTGAAAAAAAAAAAACAGCTAGATTATAAGGAGGTGTAGAAAACTAAAACAGGAACATGTCTGCATTGGTTTTTGCCAGGAACTTAACAGATGTTTGAAGCCACTTGGAGAGGTCAAGGTCGAGAGCTTCAAGTATTTGCAAGAAGTATTTGCAGCCACTCGAAATAAGTGTGAATCGTGCATTAATGAGGCACTCCGAGCTCAGTGGGAGACTTGGAAGACTGGAGGCGAGAAATCGTTTACCAGAACTGGCCGCATGTGAAAAGCAACTTTTGCTCAAGTCTGCCAGTGGATCCTGAACAGGGTAAAATAAACCTCCATCACCTACGGGTTTGTAAAGGCTGCTGCATGATGAAGAGGACAGCACAAGCTCATGGGCGCAGGAGGAAGATGAAGATAGCGATCAGTGACGTCCTGGTAGACTATTGTTGTTGTTTTTTTGTTTGTTTGTTTGTTTGTTTGTTTGTTTTTTGGGGGGGGGGGACTGTTTTGTTATTTTACCAGCTGTGTTACAGGCACTGTTCAGAAAAAAACATTTACTGTATGTATTTGTGTTTGTTACCAGTAAGCATTTAATTAAAAATTAAAAAAAATCTTTCTGTGTAAATATTTCATGTTACAACATGGACATCCACGGCTTATAGACAAGTGCAGCCTATATATGTACAAAAAATATACATGTTTTTAATTTAGTGGGCGTGGCTTATATTCAGGTGCGCTCAACAGTCCAGAAATTACGGTAACTGAGTTTGATATCCCTGATCTGCATACAAGTTCCTGCTCACAGACTCATGTTCATGTTTGTGCTGATGTTCAATGTTTTATGTTATGAGTGCTTAGTGTATATTTAGTTGATGTTTTTCTTAGTTCATATCTTAGATCTTATTACTGTTTTTCTTATACATTTTATTGTTGGATGTAACTGGGACCCTGCGTACATAATTTCGCTCCACCACATGTACCACATGAGGTGCGAATGACAATAAAGAAACTCTGACTCTCTCTGACTCTGAAGTTGATCAACTTTACTGGTGACCCTTCAGACCTTCTTTGAATCTGGTTTAGGGTCCAAATAGGTGACAGACTTTCTTTTCCTTTTCTCTTTAAAGAATCAGATTATGCTTTTGTTTCCGAGAATAGGCTAAAATGAAGTTTCCAAGCACAAGAAAACAAAAAACAAACCAAATTAATTAAAACCTTTTTTAAGATACAAGGTTAATGTTTATGAAGATTTTAATGTTTTGGCTCTACAACAATTTAGAGCTCCACCAAAAATTAGTAAACCTGTGTCTTTCTCCAGATTTTTCATGTTGTTGTTGAATTTAAGTTTTTTTTTTTAATTCATTTAAAATAATCTTATATTCAAATACCTACAATACCTACACTAACTAAAGTTATTTGTTATTTATTTGTTTAGAGAATTAGACTCTTCCTCCCATCTTGAACGTGGATGGGATGGGAAGCCACAGTAAGTTCTCTTGAAGAATGTGCTGCAGCTCTAAACCTGATTAAAAAAGAAGCACATACGTGTGAGAACTCCGGCTGGGATGGTACCGACAGCGTTTGGTCCAACACTGAACCAGAGGGGTCCTGGGATCCCGGAGCAGAGGTAGATGGGTGTGGCTTCGAGGCAGCCTCAGTTTCCATCGGCTCCTCCTTTCCCCCCGCCCGGTCGTCAGGGGGGAGCGAGGTGTCCATGGGTTCATCTGCACCAGACAAAGAAAACTAATTTAGACTCTTCTGACTGGAAGAGCAGCTCGTTCAATTTAAACGTAATCACCGACTCAGCTGCGTACCACAGTCATTTTCTGCTTCAGTTGGTGAGCTCGAAACAACTAAAGGGGTGTGGGGGAAGTTGTCTGGGGTGGGGGCGACATAATCAACGGAGCTCCTAAAACAACGAGCAAGGTCATTAGTTTAGGTTGGGTCTGCCACGTTCACAACAGAAACCATAAAGCCAAGGTGGGACTTACTGGGATAAACTTTCCTGGACCAGAGTTCCCTGTCCGGACAGGTGCAGCAGGTGAAGAGTGTGGGCTGGAGTGGGGGTGGGGCGACCTCGCTGCTCCGGCTCAGACACGGTGCTGTCCACTGCAGAGGAACAAAGAAAGTGAAGGGTTAAAGTGTCCAAAAGAGCAGCAGGTCGAGTGTTGTGGTGCAGACTCTGTCTGCGTGTCCTCAGTTCAACACCGGAGAGGTGAAGTTCTGTCTGGACGCACAGCGTTTGTCTCTGACGCACACGTGGTCCTCTTTGGTTCTTACCAACAGTTTGTCAAGAATCAACACTTTTTGTAGGAGCTCCAGGATCATGTCTCCTCAGGTCCGTCTCCACTATAACCTCTGGACATTGTGTCCACTCTTCATGTCCATTCATCTCCAGCTCCCTCAGGTTGGACGGTGCTGTTTGTGTCTAATAATCTTTGAATCTAACCAGAGAATCTCAGTTGGACTTTAATGTCCCTTTTCCATTAGTAACTGTACGTAGAACTGGTCCCTTTTTTCAGAACCCTTGGCTCTGTGGTTCCAACCGGGTTGAGCAGGTACCAAAACGTGACGTCAGAACACTGTCGGTCAATGGTCGGGGCGGAGTCACTGGATCTTTCAGAAACTTTTCAAAACACAGATCCACCATTTGCAATTTCTCAGTGTTGATATTTTCTGGGTTATTAATATAAAAGTTTGATATGTTTACACAAATTACAGTTTACTTTAAAATGATAATTAAAGTGTTTGCCTGCAGTTTTAGCTCTGAGTCTCAGAAAGGATCAGTACTTTGTAAACATTGATACCAGTTTATTTTGTTCATCAATTTTATCATCACTCTTATTAGTCATTTACTTTATATCACACTCTGTTAAAGCTGATCTAAAACTGTAAACAGCTAAACCCTTTCAGCATCATTGTGTGAAACCTTTTAACATCCGTTTCTCAAACCCAGCTCCAGAACCAGTCACTGACCACAAACGTACTGTCTGTTTTTGTATTTCTCTGATAAGATTGCAAATGAGGTAACGGCTGTTGTGTCAAAGCAAGATCCGTTACGTGTGAAGATGTATAAATGAAGCTGCATTGCTCATGTTTTTGAGAAAACACACAGAACTCTTTAGCTGCGTGCTTGTTCATGTGTTTTCTCCCTTCTGCAGAAGAGAAATAAACTTTGCTACATGTTTTTTAACAAGGTTCTCAGTCTGCTAAATTTTATTGAACAACAAAGTTTGATAAAACTCCACATCAGAACTTGGAGCAGCGGCTGGACCTATTTTAAAGATTTGAAAAACAATAATGACAACACCGTGGTCTAATGCTGACTCTGGGCTCGGGATCCCGGCCTTGCGTGCTCTGCAGGCTGCGAGCTTCGCTGGTCACGGTGGAGGATCATAAGAGCTGCTGACTCGCAGAAGGCCGCTGCCCGGACCCTGACCCCCGGCAGATGGGTCTGGCACACGAAAGATGGAAACGATTTTTAAAAACATTTTATGTTATTTATTTATTTTTTAATCAGAGAAGATTTAAAAAATAAATAAATAGCGCCGGCTTTAACATGAAATCCTGTTGTTACTTTAATGTCTATTAAATAATCTGTTAAAGCTAATTCAGCTGAATAATAGTAAAAAGACTAAAAATTATAGGATCTCTCGGGAATATTTCCCTCAAATATGTTTAAAGAAAAGAAACAGCCTTTAGTTCAACTTTATTCTAACCAATAGATGTACAAATCACAAAACAAGAATTAAACTTTAAATCAAAGGTAAAAATAATAAATAAAAAAAATCTGTGAACAATTAAAAAAAACATTTCTAAATTGAACAATAAAAGTAGACACAATAAATGCAAATACATCAAATGATAAAGAAACCCGACAAAATTATATATAGATGTTTTTGGAAAATCTGGTTCATCAGAGATTGAATGGTGAACTAGCAGGTTATATATATATATATATATATATATATATATATATATATATACTGAACCTTTCCAAAAAATTAGAATATCATGGAAAAGTTGCTTAACTTCCATAATTCCATTCAAAAAGTTAATTTTTAATAGATGATAGATTCAGGGCCCACAATTTAAATAATTTCAAGTTTTTATTTGTTTATTTTTACATAATTTGGGCTTCCAGCTCATGAAACCCACGAAAACAGCAATTCAAAAAATTTGAATACTGTGAAAACATCAGCCCAAATTTTGCAGTTCATGAATGTTTTAAACTGAGTGTGACACATTAATCATCTACTAAACTCCAAACACCTGTACATGTTTCCCCAGGTGTAATTAAATTGATTTTGTTTGGTTCAATTGTCTCAGTTCGGTTCAATATGGGGAAGACAGCAGAAATAACTGGCAATAAGACCTTCATTGATACCCTCCATAGGATGAGTAAGCCACAAAAGTTCATAGCTAAGGAGGCTGGCTGTTCACAGAGTGCTGTGTCCAAGCATATCAATGGAAAATCTAGTGGAAGGGCAAAATGTGGCAGGAGAAGATGCACCATCAAAAAAGATGACCGTGGGCTTCAGCAGATTATCAAAAAGAGAAGATTCCAGAATCTGGCAGAGATCCAGAAAGAGTGGAATGAGGCGGGAGTCACAGCTTCAAAAACCACCACATTCAGACGATTCCGGGAGATGGGCTACAACTGTTGGGTTCCTCAGTCCTTTTTTCCAATGAAAGTAAAGTGTGCCTTTCATTCAGAAATCAAGGTCCAAGGGTTTGGAGGAAGAAGGGCGAAGAACAGAGCCCATACTGCTTGAGGTCCAGTATGAAATATCTACAGTCAGTCATGATTTGTGGTGCAATCTCTGGTGCAGGTGTTGGTAAACTCTTTCTTAAATCCAAGGTCACTGCAACAGTCTACCAGAATGTTTTAGAGGACTTCATGATTCCTTCTGCTGAAAATCTGTATGGAGATGCAGATTTCATCTTCCAGCAGGACCTAGCCCCTGCCCATGCTGCCAGAAGCACCAAAACCTGGTTTGATGCCCATGCCACAGTGCTTGACTGGCCAACCAACTCGCAGGACCTAAACCCCATTGAGAATCTATGGAGTATTCTCAAGAGGAAGATGAGGGGCACCAGACCCAACAACAATGAAGAGTTGACCGCAAGCATCAAGGAAATCTGGGCTTCCATAACTCCCAGTCAATGCCACAGGCTGATTGTCTCAATGCCACGTCGCATCAAGGCAGTGATTCGAGGAAAAGGGATCCACAACCAAGTATTGAAGATTGACATATTGGTTTGAAAGTACCATATTTTGATTGATTTGTTGTGATCCTAATTTCTTTCTTTTTTCGCAAAAACGGAGTAGTGCGGACTGATTTCTTCACAGTATTCTAATTTTTGAATTCCTGTTTTTGTGAGTTTCATGAGCTGGAAGCCCAAATTATGTAAAAATAAACAAATAAATAAAAAGCCCCTTCCCATGGACTCACCACCTGTGGGAGGGGCCAAAGATGGGATGAGTGGTGGCCGAGGGCGGGGACCCTGGCGGTCTGATCCTCGGCTACAGAATCTGGCTATTGGGACGTGGAATGTCACCTCACTGGTGGGGAAGGAGCCTGAGCTGGTGTGTGAGGCTGAGAGGTTCCGGCTATAAATAGTCGGACTCACCTCTACACATGGCTCTGGCTCTGGAACCAGTTTCCTTGAGAGGGGCTGGACACTCTTCCACTCTGGAGTTGCCCCTGGTGAGAGGCGCCGAGCAGGAGTGGACATACTTATTGCCCCCCAACTTGGTGCCTGTGTGTTGGGGTTCACCCTGGTGAATGAGAGGGTGGCCTCCGTCCGCCTACGTGTGGGGGGACGGGTTATGACTGTCGTTTGTGCTTATGCACCAAACGGCAGTCCAGTTCCGACTGTGGTTTGTGCTTATGCACCAAACGGCAGTTCAGATTATCCACCCTTTTTGGAGTCCTTGGAGGGGGTACTAGAAAGTGCACCTCCTGGGGACTCCCTTGTTCTGCTGGGGGACTTCAATGCTCATGTGGGCAATGACAGTAAGACCTGGAGGGGTGTGGTTGGGAGGAACGGCCCCACTGATCTGAACCCGAGTGGTGTTCTGTTGTTGGACTTTGTTATTGACAATCCATGTCAAGCACAAAACACCTTGTTCAAGCATAAGGGTGTCCATATGTGCTCTTGGCAGCAGGACACCCTAGGCCGCAGTTCGATGATCGACTTTGTCATCGTCTCATCTGATCTGCAGCCACATGTCTTGGACACTCGGGTGAAGAGAGGGGCGGAGCTGTCCACTGATCACTACCTGGTAGTGAGTTGGCTCTGATGGTGGGGGAAGATGCCGGTCAGACCTGGCAGACCCAAACGTATTGTGAGCGTTTGCTGGGAATGTCTGGCAGAGTCTCCTGTGAGACGGAGTTTTAACTCCCACCTCCGGGAGAACTTCGAACATGTTCCAGGGGAGGTGGGGGACATTGAGTCTGAGTGTACCTCTATTGTCGAGGCGGCTTACCGGAGCTGCGGCCACAAGGTTGTCGGTGCCTGTTGCGGCGGCAACCCTCGAACCCGATAGTGGACACCATCGGTGAGGGATGCTGTCAGGTTGAAGAAGGAGTCCTAGCAGGCCTTTTTGGCCTGTGGGACCCCGGAAGCAGCTGATGGGTACCGGCAGTCCAAGCGACATGCGGCTTGGGTGGTCGCTGAGGCAAAAACTCGGGCAAGGGAGGAGTTCGGAGAGGCCATGGAGAATGACTTCCGCACGGCTTCGAGGCGATTCTGGTACACCATCCGGCATCTCGGGGGGGAAAGCGGTACGCCACCAACACTGTTTATAGTAGGGGTGGTGTGCTGCTGACCTCAACTCGGGATGTTGTGGGTCGGTGGGCAGAGTACTTTGAAGACCTCCTCAATCCCACCGGCACGTCTTCCACTGAGGAAGCGGAGCCTGGGGACTCTGGGTCGGGCCCTCCAATCTCTGGTGCTGAGGTCACCGAGGTGGTTAAAAAGCTCCTCGGTGGCAGGGCCCCAGGGATGGATGAGATTCGCCCGGAGTTCCTTAAGGCTCTGGATGTTGTAGGGTTGTGTTGGCTTACGCGACTCTGCAATATTGCATGGACATCGGGGTAAGTTCCCCTGGATTTGCAGACCGGGGTGGTGGTCCCCCTATTTAAAAAGGGGGACCGTAGAGTGTGTTCCAACTACAGGGGAATCACGCTCTTAAGCCTCCCTGGTAAGGTCTATTCGGGGGTTCTGGAGAGGAGGGTCCGTCGGATAGTCGAACCTCGGATTCAGGAGGCGCAGTGCGGTTTTTGTCCTGGCCGTGGAACACTGGACCAGCTCTACACTCTCAGCAGGGTCCTGGAGGGTGCGTGGGAGTTTGCCCAACTGGTCTACAAGTGCTTTGTGGACTTGGAGAAGGCGTTCGACCGCGTCCCTCGAGGAACCCTGTGGGGGGTACTCTGGGAGTATGGGGTACCAGGCCCTTTGATACGGGCTGTTAGGTCCCTGTATGACCGGTGTCAGAGACTGGTCCGCATTGCCGGCAGTAAGTCGGGCTTGTTCCCGATGAGAGTTGGACTCCGCCAAGGCGCGTGACGTTAATTTGAACCCCACCCTCTGGAACGGGTACGGAAAGCATAATGGAAACACAACTGGGGTTTTTGCACTGCTCCTACTTAGCCCCTGATTCTACTAAGCCCTCCCCGGAAAAATTGCTATTCCACAGCACTTTTTAACTGATTTGAGGCTGATTTGGGACCTTGTTTGGTTCTTGCTTCTCAGGTGGGACCGCGCAAGCTGAGTCCGGACCGAAACGTGAATGCAGGTCACTGATTGGTCAGTGGTAGGAGTCATTGGATCTCAGAAAATTTTCACCGATCCTCCATTTGCAATTTCTCGGAATGCAGAGCAGCGGCTGGATCTTTTTTTAAGATTTTAAAAACAATAATGACAACACTGTGCTGAATGTGTTTAATGAAGTCCAGGCGTTTTTTTGTGTTTGGTGACCGACAACAAAATTCGAGCAAGCAGAGTCGCCGCGGAGGATCATACGAGCTGTCAACCTGTTGAAGCATGTGAGGCTGGACCCCGAGCCCCAGCCTCACGTGCTCACAAATGCTGGATTCCGAGCCCTGGCAGGCAGGAGGACCGGGACGAAGGGTGGAAATGTTTTTTTTTTCTTTTATATTTTATGTATTAAAAAATAAAGTTTTTTTTAATCAGTGAAGAATAAAACTAAATAAACAGTGCTGGCTTTATCATGAAATCCAGTTTTTACTTTGACTTTATTAAATAATCTGTTAATTAAATTTAACTCAGCTGAAAAATCATAAAAAGACAAAATTACTGGATCTCTCAGGAATATTTCCCTCAAACATGTTTAAAGAAGAGACACAGCCTTTAGTTCAACTTTATTCTAACCCACAGATGAACAAATCTCAAAACAAGAATTACACTTTAAATCACTGTTTGATTGTTCTTGTCTCTTCAAATTAGGACTGCCAACTTTTTTTTTCTTATTTTATAGACAAAGTCAGTAAGGTGAGAAATAACATTGATCACTGATCATCACTTAAATCACTAAAATAAAATCTGTATGCACGAAACAAAACCACATATCAAAAATGAGTGCAAATACATCAAATGATGAAGAAAAATGTGGAATTTTAAATATAAATGTTTTTGTAGGATCTGGTTCATCAGATTTAATTCAGTTTATTTCTATAGCACCAAGTTACAACAGAAGTCGTCTCAGGGCACTGAACAGAAATATTCATATATAAAATAAATTAACAGAAACATTCATATTTAAAAATAATAATTTAACATTAGTTATCTGAGGAGCAGACTGCTTTGACTTTGACTCATTGCAGAACTCTCACTCGGTGAACTAAAGTTCATTAAAAGTTCATTCGCAGGATTTTGGATTCTGGACACGCCTCCAGAACTGGTCCTGAAGTGCGGTGGAAACGGGCTGATCTGAGCAGAGTTGGGGCTGAGTAGGAGCAGTGCAAAAGGGGCAAACGTGTACCGTACCGAGCCGAGTAGAACCGTGCTGTACCGGTACTAAAGGTACTAATGGAAAAAGGGGCAAAATTCAAGAGCCAGGAAGAAGGAGAAATCCAACACAAGACCTTTTAATCCCACACTGAATGAAATTTAAGACAGAAAAACCTATAAGTATAGGTGATGGTGTGTGTCACTCGATGAGACACATTCAAGGTTAGTTTTTGTCTGTTTATTGAACATAAAGTGATATTCAGTGCTCTCTGGTTCAACAGCTGTGTGTATAAGAGCAGTTGTTTGGTTGGAAACATCCAGAAAAAACATCTACATTGAATACATTCATGGCACGAGGCTCAATTGTGTCTTAATCTCCTTCATACACAAAGATGTTCAGCCAACTGTCCATACATTTGAGGCTCGATGGCTCAATGCCTCGAGGCTCAATAGGATTTACCTGTCTAAATAAAGGTTGAATGAAAATTTGCACCAACCCTTAATTTAATTGCAGAATAGCTAGCTAGGGAATAAATCAGCAGTGAGAAAGTAGCCTGAATCGCCTTGAGTCAGCGGGTTTGAACCGTAGACCGTATGAAAGAAAACAAGCTCAGGAAGCCAGAAAGAAGCCTGCACAAGATTCAATGTAAAACTTTTGTCTGATAGAAAAGTCATATGAGAAAAATACATAAATAGTCCCAGGGATTAAAGCATAAAAGAGCTTAGTAAAAGTACACAGTATGCTGTGCACATGACCTTAGTACAAGTACACAGTACAGTGTTCTCTAATGAAGCACCATCCAGACCAACATCATTCTGAAGGAAGAGATGCAGTGCTTAATTTGAGCTGGATCCTGTCGGAACAGGATGCAGGGACTCTCTTATTTTGAAAGGGTGCGTTGCGACAAAACTCTTTGCTTGGATCCGGTAACTCAAATCTCCGCCCCTAAAAGTCCAAAGTCATCTCGCATTTTTATAGAAAAAAACTTGTAAATATAATTAAACGGCACAACTAAATTGCAAATCAGTTTTATAGTTTAAGTGGGTCATTTATAAAACTTTGATAATTTATTAAAAATACAATGAGAGAAAAGTTTGATGTGTATTATTCACATTACATCACGTATCAAAACAACGGCGCTAATTTGTCAAAAATAACAGCGATCAAAACGTTGAAAAAACAGTCCAATTTACTTTAATTAAAAAAAGGTTTCTCATTGTTCTTAGTTGGACAACTGAGAACTGAAGCACCTGAAGGCAGTGGCAATCAAGACTGGAGCGGGGGGGGTGCCGAGCTAACCAGATAGCAGGAGCCCACAGACAGCCGTCATGAACAGACGGAGGAGGTACCTGGAGGTTTCACATGTGGAGTCAGACAATAACGTGCAGGGCTGAATTCAGTGGATAAGAGTTGGGCTTAGAACCATTGGGGGGTAGGATGCATGTTGCCTTGACGGAAGCGGAGTTGTTCTATTCAAGCACAAGGACAGAGCTGTTGTTGTTGCTCTCTAAAATAGTTACTGAATCAAAAGTTTACTTGTGTAGGTAAACAGATTTTAACAACCCATTAAAATACACCAGAATGCAGGAAATGGCATTTACTTTATTCAGAATTTTCTGGGGGAGGGCAACCACCACGCAAAGCTGAGGTGTTCTGTAAGCTGGCTTCACATGCAGATTACCCTCACAAAAGAGGTTTGTTATGGTTTTTGTTAGTCTGACTCACAGATGTATATCTGCAAACTCAAAAGGGATGAAAAATGTGAGTAGTTTTTTTTTTTTTTGGGGGGAGGGGGGGGGCATGCCCCATGCCTCTCACACATTGACTGATAGAGACAAACACTAGCAACCCAAATAGTAGTGAAGATCGCTGATGGATAGTTGTAATTTTTGTTTAGTTTTTTGTTTAAAATCCAGGTTGGAAATGTTTACCACTCATAACTGTGTTCCTGAACGCATCATGGACATACGTACCTGACTTATCAGCATCAAACAAGTCCTCCTGTGAGGACAGGACCTCACGATCCTGCTGTGCAGAAGACTGGAGGTTCTGAGAATGCAGCAGAGCCTGGACACTCAGTTGGCGGCCTGGCTCACCCAGGGACTCAGAGGAGCTGCTGGAGCTCACCTCAGACCTGAAAAAACAAGTTTCAGATTATGAACTTGCATTTCCAACACTCCAAGTGTTCCACTGAGATGTACCTCGCTGCTTTGTGGTCCAGTATCTCTGAAGTTCTGGAGCTGATGCTCTGCCCTGCTGATATGACAGACAGACTCTTCAGTGTCAACATGAACATCTCAGTCAGATTAACCTTCACACATCGCTGCTCCACTTCAGTCAACAGGAGTAAAACCAGTTCTTTACAGAAGAGACAAGCAGAACCGTCTGCAGACATGGAGGTCAGCACTTCTGGATCAGAGAGAAGGAATAACACAAACCTGGTTGTCTTTGCCTCTCATGGTCTGGCTGATCAACGTCTTCATCTGCACGAAGGTCTTGACTCTGAGAAAGCTCCAGAAATCCAAACTGAGAAGTTCTCTCTACAATACAAACAAAATGCAGTTTATTTAAAAAAAAATACTACATAAGCAGACAGACATTCTACTTCCAGAGACTGCATACCTTCAGACTGAACACAGTTTGTTGTAGAATCAGCTCCAGGATCCATTTCACAATCTTCTGCTGCACACCTAAAGGTCAAATGAAAGACGTCATCAGAAACAGTTCTCTGAAAAGCTAGATAAGAAAACAGTCAAATAACTTCACAAGTTAATAAAATAAAATGGGAAGAACCAGTTGTAGGTCAGAGGTTCACATCTGCTCATCAAAGCTGCAAATAGCTATGTTTACATACGCAAAATTCTTTGACTGGATTGAAATGTTTTCAGATTAAATAATTCAAATGTATTATTTACATGGGCCCAGTCTGTTCATGACGAGTGTTTACATGCAGCGGGCTTTGTTCTGAACAGAAATGCTGACATACGCAGAGTGCTAAACGCTCCTTAAAAAAAACACAGAAGAAGAAGTTCTACTTCCAGTTTACTTCCGGGATGAACGTAAACAAACCTGAGCACCCAAAATGGACCCATGACTGGTTTTAATGACGGTGAAGACGTTCCTGCCCGCCCTGACTGAGCTACATGTGATACAGATCATTTTCAGCTCTTTCAAAGTTTCTGGTAGAAATGTTGTCACTCACTGACCAGTTTTACTTCCCTGACATGCTAACATTATTAGCATTAGCCAGGCGGAAATAACAAAGTCGCACATGCGCAGTCAGGTCAGTTTTTCACCATCAGATAAAAATGAACGGATCAAGAGTTTACATGTGCATTGTTCGGGTTATGAATCGGCGTAAACCACCCGTTTCGTTCTGATCACAAATTATTTCGGATCACGCTGAATTAACAAAAAATAACCCGAACAGGGTGTTTACTTGACACATTTTTATTCCGAACGGCCATTTGATCCGACTATTTGTGTCCATTTAAACATAGCTAGTGTCTTCTTCTTTCAGCTGCTCCTTCAGGGGTCTCCACAGTGAACTAACTCACAAAGACTTGGCGATTGTTTTTATGTCAGATGATCTTCCTGACACAACCACAGACACCGAGTTACCACAGCCCTCTGTGCGGAGCAGAGAGCTGCCATCTAGAGCCTGGGGGAGCAGATGGTGGGGTTAAGGGCCTTGCTCAAGGGTCCAGAGTAAAACATATGAGGGCAGAAGCAGGTGTGGGTGCTTCACCTTTCCCATCCACATTTTGATGTCGTCTTTCCAGGGAGTTGAACTGCCAACCTTCCGATCACATGCCCACCTTCTCTAACCTTTGCGCCACCACTCCCCATATTTGTTGGAAGAGTAACATCATTTATTAGTACTTATATTGGTACTCGGTATTGACAAGTCAAATCTAAGTACTTGTACTCCGTTTGAAGAAAGGTGGTAGACGCGAGTCATTTTAACCTTCGTCTGGTTGGATGCATCTCACAGACAAAAGGTATTTAAATTAGGATAATTATGTTTTTGGTACATTAGTAAATATTTTATACCATTTACTTTCACCTTTGTTTTTCTACATTAACTAAATATGAAAAAGTAGAAATCGGACTAGTGTGGACCTCGACCATCATAATGCACGTACCGTTTTTTGTTTGGAGGGGGGCAGATGTTTAAAACTTGACTCTCTTCCTGTAGGGGTGAGTTGATGTCGGCTGGAGATGCAGCACCTGTTCAAAGCAGCAGCAACATTTTTGTTTTGGGGACTTGAAGAGGATCTTGTATGTAAATGCAAGAGATTAGACAATTTCAAACCTGGTTCAGTCTGGCTGTTCTCTGACTGGCTGTCGGTCTGAGAAAATCGACCACCTCGTGGTGACGAGATCAACTCCTGAAGAGGAAAACAATGATTTGACAAAGCAACACAATGTAAATTAGGACATTTATCAAAACAAGTCTTGTCCTGTCAGTAGAAAATTCTTGGACTATCTAAGAATCATCACTGCTGGTTTTACTGACAAGCGTCTGTTATTAGATCTACAGTGGTGCTTGAATGTTTGTGAACTCTTTATAATTTTCTATATTTCTATTTATAAATTCTAGAATTGTGCCGCTCAAGGTGGCTGCATGTTGGAGCAGCTCTGTTACTTTCATTCTGAGATTTTGTTTTTGGAAACTTTAATTCCTCTTTTTCTGGATGTAAGTCACATTTTTTGGATGATTGTTTCCTCTGGTATCGGATGCTGTGCAGCTGGAAGGATTTTTACCGAAACTTTTTTAGTTTGGGACATTTGCCATGATGCATAACCATGGCAACAAGGCAGTTTTCTACCACCAACAGCAGCTGATTAACATCTCAAAAGCTCAAGTAATATCTCAACTACAGCCCTAAATTTCAAACGAGTTGAAAAGGATGTTCTGTGGACGCATTCTCATCTACCTGCCAGCTGTGCTCGAATGCCTGACCACAGAGATCCTGGAACTAGCAAGAAACATGGCTCATGACAGCGGAAGGACAGGATCGGCCCTCGGCACCTACAATTGGCTGTCCGCAGTGACGAGGAGCTCGGCAGGCTGCTGGGAGGAGTGGCCATCGCTCTGGGAGGAGTTATGCTCGGCATTCGGGCGGTCCTACAGCCCGGGGGAACCGAGAGGCCAGCCGAGTCTGGGTGGACGGATCGGACGGCATCTGCAGCCAGTTTCTTAGGATACACTGTGGGATGGACCTTTACAAGAGATCCTTCCTGTCTACAGCCATCAGTATCTATAATGAGGCGGCTGTCTAAACTGAAGCCCATATTGTCCAAAAATAACCTGGAGACAGTAATACATGCATTCATTACATCTAGGCTTGATTACTGCAATTCACTCCTGTTTGGTATCAGTCAGACCTCCATTGCATGACTACAACTGGTCCAGAATGCAGCAGCCCTATTTTTAACCAGTATTTATGGAGGCGAAGTCAGCAAAATTAAAAGACTGATGAACAGCTGTTGAAGGTGAAAGAAAGGAAAGTCTGTCAGTGATGTTGGAGTTTCAAGCAGCTGTTCTCCCTGAAAGGATAAAAGTAGGATGTATGTGCTTCTCTGTTTGGCCATACATCCCTCCTCCTCTCAGGTGTTATAAATCCAGAGGTACGGACATATTGCAGCAGCATGTAGGGGGAAACAAAGATGTCCAAAGTGCGGAGGGGAGCATAGATATGATGAGTGTAAAAATGGAAAGGGTACTTGTTGTAACTGTGGAGAACAACACAGGGTAACCTACAGAGGATGTGAAATCAGGAAAAGAGCAGTGGAAATGGAACTAATCAAAGTAATTAATAATAAAAGTTTCACAGAAGCTGTTCAGAGAGTGAAGAAGCCAAAAGAGGTGTAAGGAAAAGTTCAGCCGAGGCCAACACCAGAACAAAGGCAGACTGGACCTGACACAGAACTGACAGTTGAAAAGATTATGTTGTTCATTGCATATGTAATTAATTGTACAGAGCAAGTAAAACACAAAACAGAAAAAAATCAAAATAATTGTGAAAGGGGCAGAGAGGTTTTTTGGTATAAAGGATATATCCTGGGAGCACATAAATAAGACACTGGGAGCAGAAGGGAAGACAGGAGGACCAGAAGACAGAACAAACTGATCATCTTACAGTGGAACGCTAGAAGTCTAATATCAAATGGGCAGGAGTTTAAAGGAGTTATCAAAGAATTCAAAGAAGATATAGATATTATATGCATTCAGGAAACTTGGCTTAAACCAAACCTTGATTTTATTATCAATGGATATGAAAACACTAGAAGAGAGAGAGGGAGGATAAGGAGGAGGGTGTAAAACATTCATTAAACAGGGGATTCAATTTAGAGTTTTAGCTAAAGGAAGAGAGCTAGAATATATTGTTATTGAAATTTGGACACTAAATGGACGATTTAAAATAATAAATTGTTATAATCCATGTAAAAGACTTACATTAGACTTAAAGGAGAAACTTGGGACGTATTTAGAGGGTAAGGTGATTTGGTGAGGAGACTTCAATGGGCATAGCTCATTATATCATTATAGCTCATTATTACATCAGAGCAACCCTGGATTCTAGTCTTGTGTCAACCAAAACAATCCCAAACAAATTTGAGGCCTTAGCTGTAGTACCGGTACAGCACGGCTCTACTCTATTCGGTACGGTACACGTTGTGTTTCCATTATGTTTTCAGTACTGGTTTCAGTGGGCGGGGTTCAAATTGACCTCACCACCTCACACCAGTTGGTGGCAGTGAGACGTTGAAACTGTTTTCAGTACAGGGTGAGAATTTATTTTGAAGTTGTGTGTGTGCGTGCATATATATATATATGTACACACACACACACATATATATATACTGACCCCTTCCAAAAAATTAGAATATCATGGAAATGTTGTTTAACTTTCAAAATTCCATTCAAAAAGTTAATCTTTAATAGTCAGTCAGAGTCAGAGTCAGAGATTCTTTATTGTCATTCGCACCTCATGTGGTCCATGTGGTGGAGCGAAATTATGTACACAGGGTCCCAGTTACATCCAACAATAAAATGTATAAGAAAAACAGTAATAACATCTAAGATATGAACTAAGAAAAACATCAACTAAATATACACTAAGCACTCATAACATAAAAACATTGAACATCAGCACAAACATGAACATGAGTCTGTGAGCGGATGTGCACGCATGAACACATCAACATTGAAACAAATCAGCAGCAACATGAAACAGATCAGCAGCAACATGAAACAGATCAGCAGCAACATGATATGTTTTTTCACAGTGATTATTCTAGTTAGAGATTCATGAGTCTAACAGCCTCAGGGTAGAAGCTGTTCCTCAGTCTAGTGGTTCTACACTTAATGCTCCTCAACCTCCTTCCTGAGGGGAGTGGGGCAAAAAGTGTGTGTGCTGGGTGAGTGGGGTCCTTCATGATGCAGGTGGCCCTCTTCCTGCATCTGGAGGTGTAGATGTCTGTGATGGTGGGGAGGCTGATTCCGACAGACTTCTGTGCAGCCTTCACCACTCTCTGCAAAGCTTTTCTTTCTGCAGCTGTGCAGCCTCCATGCCACACGTTGATGCTGGAGCACAGGATGCTCTCCACTGCACACCTGTAGAAGGAGGTGAGGATTGAGCTTCCCAGACCAGCTCGCCTCAGCCGTCTGAAGAAGTAGAGTCTCTGATGAGCTTTCTTGATCAGGCTGGTGGTGTTGTTGCTCCAGCTGAGGTTGTCATTCATGTGTACACCCAAGTACTTGTAGCTGGAGACCACTTCCACTGCAGATCCTCTTATGTTCAGGGGGGTGTAGATGTTTTTGTTCCTTCTGAAGTCCACAATCATCTCCTTTGTCTTCTTCACATTGATGTGAAGGTTATTCTCTCTGCACCAGCTCTCCAGGTGTTCCACCTCTTGCCTGTAGCTGGACTCATCATTGTTTGTGATGCATCCCACCACCGCTGTATCATCTGCAAACTTTACAATGTGACAGCCTGGATGGGTAGCTGCACAATCATCCATGAGCAGAGTAAACAGGAGGGGGCTCAACACACATCCCTGAGGAGAGCCAGTGCTGAGAGTTATGGTGGAGGAGGAGAAGTTGTGGATCCTCACTAACTGTGGTCTGTTTGTTAAAAAGTCTAGTACCCAGTTGCAAATGGAGGGGCTTAGTCCTAGTGTGGATAGTTTGTCCATCAGGGTTTGGGGGATCATGGTGTTGAAGG